CCAAGAGGGAAATGTTTTCGCGTGCACGTTTCTTAATCAACGACGATCGTCGAGTGTGCGTGAAGTGTGCGAGGCAGAGGCATTAAACAGTGCGATATGAAATTAGATCGCGGTCGTTAAGCGAGTGGCGCATCGGTTGGCTGTTGCCTCGGCGGCCGCACGTTTGTCCAGCTCGTCGTTAATTCCCATCGTTTACTTAGCGAGGTGCAACGAGCGCGCGAGTACGATGTTTAAGTGCAATTGTTTATAGAGGTTGGTGCTCGTGGAAATGATCGTTTCTGCCGGCCACTTCCGACGCATGTGCTACGAAGACGGTTTATCCCGTTCTCGCGAGCACTTCTCGCGAGAAGATGCGGTTTATCGTTTCCTCTATTAACCCGATTTAATGGAGCGCGTCACAAATCATACGCCGATACCGTGCTTGGAATGTTATTCTCGCGCAATTTTCTCCGCGGGATATGCCAGCCTGTTGGCAGATATCATATCTCTGCCAGGACTTGGAATTTTATTTTCTTCTAGCTTTACCATTTTTTTCAAATCCTCGAGGAAATTGTGTAACTAATCGACGAATATTTTCAATGATACGTGAATTATTCCAAATTTTCCAGTGTAACTCTGAGAACACTTTTCCTTTTACCACGAAAGTTTAAGAAAACTCTCTCCTGTTCCTTAACCTACTCAAACTAAACCGTTCCTTCAGACTTCGTGACTTTTCGAACCACCCACGCGGCATAAAACGCGTTCAACCCGTCTCTCGTGGCTAAAAGCGTTCGCGTTTCGAGCCAAAAAACAATTGGTGCACGACCATCGACCAATGTACTCGTGCATTCAGCATCGGCTTCGATAAGAATCAAGGGACGATATAAGTCGCTCTCGATCGGTGTCTGTCCTTGGCTCTGATCGGTATTTTCGCCGATGTACTCGCGGACCCAAAAGGAAACACCGAGAAAGGGGGCCTCGACGCAATAACAGACGAGCAGAGAGACGTAATCGTTGCGTGGACGTATCATTTGGTGCAATAAATCCGCGTGGATCGTGAACGAGTATTGGCCAACGGCGACGCAGCGATCCTTTGGACACTGTTCAGTCGCAGCTGTATCGCGTGTACGTGTTAACTGCTAGTCATAGATCTCTTCGATGTTTACCACGATGATTAGCGTGATCTATGCTCCTCTATTGCTATATCGCGTCGATAGAAATTGGTGCCGAATCAAGCATGCGTGATTTTTCTTAGAAATCAAAGCCAGCGCTTCGGTTTCAAGCTTCCTTCAAACTAAACCCGGTACTTTCGAAGAGAGGATACACCTCAGCTCGAGGCGACGTCGGTAACGACCAGTTCCCTTAAATCACCCCTGGAAAAAAAACATTCTTCCCCGAAAGAAAAAATTCTTGGGTGGTCTCTCTTCGTAGGTGGTATCGTATCGATCTTCCAGAATATTCTTATTCCTCTCTTATCTACTTCGTCGCATTCCAACGGAATCAGAAGCCCTCTCGAATCTTATTTAGAAGAAGGAAAAAGAAACGAAGAAGCAACTCTCGTATTTTATCTAAAGGTATACGAGAACCGTATTTATTCCGCGACACGTACGATAAAAGGTATCAGTATCATAACAGACTCCTCCTTATCACCGGTTCACAAATATTCACCTAGCTGATTTACTGCGTCGTTGAGTTTTCACGCTTGTGCAGCTTGCTCTCCGCGCCATTTAGATTCCTCCGTGGCTCGTCCGCCGAGCGAAACAGCCGAGCAATAATCCTCCGATCTCGATCAAACGCTCGCGAACCAACGCAGAACTAAGAGCAAAGAGAGATCTTTCTCTCGGCTGGCTCGATCAGCGTTTGCTTTTCCTCCGCGCGGGTGTTAAATATCCGCGTCTGTTGGATATTAGACGTTCATCGACGGTGGGCAGAGGACCTTCTACGCGAATATAATCACGGAGAGAGAAACGCGGACGAATAAAAATGATTTATACCTGGCTCGATGCGTCGCCGAGATAGCGCGGACACGGATTGAATTCAGATGAGATCCCTTTGCTAGGGCTTCGAACAACCTCTACCTCGGTGTCCTTCGTGGAAGAACGTCGGTGGATGGTGAAGCAGTGACGTGGTTCGCTTGTTTCGTCTTTCGAAATTGGGGGCAACGAGCAATCAGTTGAATTGAAACACTCGAACGTAGGAGAAATGTCTCGGCTTTCGGAAGGATTCGTTTCTAACCGAAGGAGAAATTGTGTCTTTGAATCTTACATCGGGTCAATTAGCAGTTGAAACCTTCGATTATTCGATCATGTTTCTTTTATGATTTACCCACGTTGCGTCCTTGTGTCTTTTTATTGGAACAAGTTCGAATGCCGTTTCTCTACATGGCGAGGGAAATACGTACACCCATCCCTCCATTTACGCGGATCGACCGCTCCTCGGTGATTTTTTTTACGCGGATAAAAATCGCGTACATAGAGTCTGCTTGCATGAAGAAAACTGTATACGGTAAGAGAAACAGGTTAATAAGAAAAATAATGATATCTCAGAAAACCAAAATAAGTTTTGTAGGGCAAGAGGTTAAAAAATAACAGAAAAGGTTAGAGTTACATATGTAATTAGTACACGTTCAAGTAAGAATTTGCGTATCTCTGATATGCAATAAATTCAACGAAAGTTTATAGAAAACTGAACCTATCTGTAGGCCAGTAACATATCATAAATTAATAAACAGTCCTTTCCAGCCGTCTTCCTAGCCCCTAACAAATTCCTTCCCTATCATAAAACAGTTTAAGTCGCACCCTGGTCATGTTTCCTATCCCTTTCCCTTTTCCGGATTTTCTCCAAATTATTTCAACTTTTGCACACCACCTTCACCCTCACGCTCTCCTTCCACTAGTTTCCTAATATCCAATCACACCTCCGCACCTTTCGAGAGTGCCACCACCTTCAACGTCCAACCAATTACAACATACACCGACCTAATATATACCCACGCACCACCACAAATAAACAGAGTTCAAAAATATTCCTACGGAGAGAAACCTCTTATTCACCATCACCACACCAACTATTAGAATTTCGCCCTTCCGGGATTAACACATCGGGAGCGCAACGATACCAGCATCGAGCATCGTACAGGTGTATATCTCGGTCGAATCTTCGTACAGAACTCTCTCAGACAGAGGAAAACGCTAGAAGAGATCATCTTCCTCGAGACTAATGGCGTGTCCACTCGAACGAGCGTGTCTTAAAGCATTCTTTCATCTTGAATTTCGGTCCTTGTTGCGAAACGTCCCTTTAAACCATCCAAGAAATTTCACAAAGTCTCCTTCCGCAGATCGATCTTCCTCGAGAATCCAAGGGAAACACGCTCGCGTATCACCTTCGCTTCTGTCGTCGATTCATCGACGGTTGTAAAAATACTATCCACCATCGATTACTCTATGCTACTTCTCACCGGGGGGAAAAAGTTTTCACCGAGAATGACACACTGCTCGAAGACGGGTTTCCCCGTTCGTGTTTGAAGTCACGTTTGGAATTTCGATCACGAACTACCGGAAGATATATTTTTGCGATTCAGAGAGAGAGAGAGAGAAGGTTCCTGCGGGGTTACGCGTGTCCCTTAAGATGGCTGTCGCGTTACGTGACGAGGATTTCTGGAAATCCAGATGAAAGCGAACGATTGCTCGTTTTTCTTCGTCACGCGAGTCGTTCCATCTTTCGACACCGGAGAACCGTGAACTACGACTTTCCTCTTGTGTATACAGGATGTTTCCGTACAAGCAGTAGGGAGGTGACTGTACATGCAAAAGTAAGTGGAAAAAAAAGAATAACACGTTCTCGTATCAGGCCTCGTTTCCCAGTAAATCGGCGTTGAAGATTTGCCAAGTACGCGTATACTTGATTGTACCGTAAACCAGTTTTTGTCGCATTTGGATTCATAAACATCGCCAATGTCGTGGCTTCTTATCGTTTCTGTGCCAGACCTTCTGTCTTGGTCGTTCTGTCGATACGGCAACATACGGTAATCGAGAGTACGTCGATATGATTCTGGGTGTTTCTGCCGGTAGCGCATTTGTGGCCGCTAATTGCTACAAAGAACGACATCCAAATCGCCGTGATCCTGACAGAAGAACAAGAGAAGTGCGTGACAATAGCAAACTCTCAACGAGGAAATAATTTTATTTCAATGTTCATCTCTTGGTATTACCTAATGTAAGAAATCGGAACAGCAACACGAGCGACACAATGACATTTGTACGCCATATACGTGGGATCGTGTGCAAGTGTACGTGTACTCTTCAACGCTGATTTATTCGGAAACGAAGCCCGATACGAGAAAATGTTACTCTTCTTTTTCGACTTATTTCTGCACGTACAGTCACCTCCTTGTCGCTTGTACCACCATTTCGGAAACACCCTGCATATCTGTGCTACGAATATAAGTTAAGCGACGTATTACGCGAGGCTAGGAGTACGGGAATTATTCTAGCGTAACAGCGAGACGAGAAAGAAAGAGAGAGAGAGAGTGGATTAGCGTTAAATTGCGACGTTGTTGAAAGTGAGAAGGAGAGGATCGTCGTAGATCGAACGGTTCTTAACCTCTCGCTCGCAATTAGTCCCTGCCAGTTTCATCGGTCAACGATTTACAGTCGATTGTCCCGTCTTAACGAGACCCTTTGTTCACCAGCGTCTGTAGGAAATTACACGAATAACGCGATTACCGGGGCAACTTTAGAGTAAGAGGTTCCGGGGACATTGAGACGTGGTATTAAGAACAGTGTTAATTATCACGGTGTAATTAAAAATTTCACTCGAGAACGAGTACCGAGGATGTTCCTCTAATCGAACGCTAAAGTGTACCGTTAATTGTGAAATTTTGATCGAAGTTAGAAAATTAGGAAATTTTTATTGAAATTGGAAAATTATGAAATTTTCATGAATTTTATGGTCGAGTGTGATGTTTTACAGAGGGTTCGAGAGTGCGTGAAATTTAATCTTCTGGTGGAATTTTTGTTCAGAAGGACGGGAAACTCCATTATCACCGCCACCACCTTCGAGTTCCTCCGTTCAAACGTCACCTCGCGGATTGGGTTACACCTGCGGTCCCATAGATGGATCTCTGTACGCTGTGGTACACCAGGGTGCTGCCGGTGGTGCCCGTGGCTCACCATTGACAGTTTCCATGGACAGCGGCATCAGCAGTGCTCCACCACAGCGACCTAGTCCACCGGAGGCAGAGCCAGACAATCAGGCTCATGGTGATCTTGATAAGCTTCTTCATGATATGATGCTTACCGTCGAGGTGAGTCCGTCATCGAAAATCGTGAATCGATCTTTCTTCGTGTGTCAATTCATAGGTGTGAAAAAAACTTTGTGGAGAGTGGGAAGAAGTTGAACACATTCCACGTCACTTGCACTCTCAGAAATAGAATTTTCATTAGATAAAGGAGAATATTTTTCTAGTCAATGATTATGCAAAGTATGTGAAATTCTCTCCTGGGGCAGAGAACGTGTTAAAGTTCCCCCGTAATTTTTTAATTTTTCCAAAGAGAAAGTATATTTGTATTCGGAGGCTTGCAAGAATTTCCAATAATTTTCTATAATTTTCCGATTTTTATTCTCAACGCTGGATTCTAAAATTGAGAAATTAGTGAAAGAAATGTTTCGATATGTGTGTGGCCGCAGTCGATGCCAGATCCTCCTTCAGAGGACTACAGAACGGACAGGAGCGAGAAGATGTACATTCAGGAGAGTCGAAGCTACAGCAGCCACGCGAGCAGCCACTCTCCGTCCACCTACTCCACCCTGAAGGATTCCTACAGAAGTTACGGCGCGGGTAAAGAGTCCAGTCCGCCGTACAACTCGAGCAGCAGTTACAGCACCCTGAAGAACGAGTATCGGGAACCGGCTAAAATTGAACATCGCCGAGAGGAGTTCGAGTATCGTATGTCGCCGGATCGAAAAATTTCCGATTCCTCTACGGACTCGTACAGGAAACACGCTGACTCGTTCTCCCCGCCTGGCAATATCGATTATATCGACGAGGACATCCCGTATCACGCTAGACAGACAAGTCAACCGTTCTCGTACGGCGCCACGTCGGACATGATCAAACATCAGAAGCTCTCGTCGCCTTCGTTGGTACGAAAAGCGTCTGTACGTGGTGCAGCGCCTGTGGTGGACTTTGAGGACATCCTCGGGGAGAACTCGAGGAGACCTATCAGCCCTTTGAGTCCCAATACTCCCGATCCACCGCCGGAATTTGCTAATGGACCAGCTAAGACCAGTTCGGATCACGTGGATGGGTGAGTGAGAATTTTTAATTGTTCCTTTTTAATTAATAACTTTTTACTCAATATTATTTCAGTGGTCACGAAAGGGTTAATAGTCGTTATTTTGAAGAAATTTCTCCAAGTGATTCGCGTGTATTCACGTGCCGAATGAATTTTCTGTGAATTAGTTAACCCACTCGAGGCCGGTGACTTTTCCAAAGTCACAATTCCAAAGTCAAAATTCTTTTTCTTCTTTATATTGAAAATTGAGAGAAGAAAACATGTTTGCGGAGTGAAGAATTAGCACGACACACCATCTACACTTACCTTGTGGTCCTAGCTGGAAACCAGCGCAAGTTTTAATATCTACAGAGCTTTAATTTTTACTTTGACTAGTACTTGAGTAATACCATAATATGTGTGACTGGCCTCCAATGAGAAAAAAGGAAGCTTTGTTTCGTATAAATTTATTACACCTAAGTGATGTGTCTATGACGTACGTGAAAGTGTCTGTAAAACTTCCCTCGCAGACACGTCTCTTTCCAAAAATTTCTAATTGCTTCATTAATCCCTCTACCCACCGTAATCCCTAATTCGCTCACCAAAAAAGACATAATTCCCAATAAATGAATCGCTTCCGTTCTCTCTATATATACCTTCGCGAACTGATTACGGGGTCCGTTTTTCTGGCACCGTTCCCGGCAACGTCTGCTAACCAGTCGGCGTGTAACAAATCCCATAATTAAATGCTCTCAGCACCGTCTCTAATAATACGTCGAGGGGCGAGAGACGTCGTCCGGCGAAAAGCATTTCGTCACACTCGATGTATATTGTGAAACTCGAAGAACAGAGAGAGAGAGAGAGAGATTAGGAGGTTTTCACGGAACCTGCGGTGGAAATCATGAGAGCAATTGGGCCATTCCTCTGGCAGAGCTTCCAGACGACGACGACAAGGCGTGTCGCAACTCTTCCTCCGAATCAGGCACCGCAAAAGAGCCACGAGAGGCCGTGGAAACGATGTAAGGGAGAACAGAGAGAGAGACAGGGAGAGCGAAGAGGATAGTTAACCGACGCTGGGACAATTAATAAATTGTCTACCCATAGGCGGACGCGATTGCAACGCTCCGAGTCTCGTATTTTCTGCCGGGAATGGCGAACGCGGTCGTCGTCGTGAGTCATTGTCGGTCGCGTGATGATGCCAGGGCAAGTGGAAAAGAGAAAAGTTCTCTAGTCGGTGTGGATGGGTACGATACTGACATGAACGCGTCGTATCGCGTTATGAAATACGAGTTTCGCGGTTGGAGGACAGACATTGCGAGCAGCGACCGCCTTCCCGACACGTCGTTTCGCTATTCTGTCCTTTGCTTCGGGATAAATCGACGGTAACAGGATTTTTCTTTCCCTTCGAAGAAGAAGAAATTGCGGTTCGTTTCAAGGTTTCGTTCCGATGGAAGAAATCGGTCATTTTTGCACACGGAGAAATTAACCCTTTCGTTGCTATTGGCAGGCTGGAGCCACTTGATGCACTTGCACCTTAATTTAATACTTAGTTTTATCCTTCGCGCAAATTTTAAAAGGATACGACCAAAAGAACACGCGATTAAAAATTTACCACCAGTCACCCACGTTGCGCGTTAAAATTTGCCGTAGCGAAAGGGTGAAGTTGAATCAGATGTGGCAACAATCAACGATGTGTACTTCAAAGCTAGATTAACTCAACTCCACTTTTCTCAAAATTGAGTTGCACGCGCAATTAAATCACAAGGAAATCGAGAAAGGTTGGGAATTACTCGTTACGGAGGACGAAATTCTTTCGATGGCATTTCAATTCTGCGATTACTGAAGACAGCTCGCAATTCGGTCGGCGAACCCGATTTTTCGCAGTCGAAATCTTATCCGAAGACGGGAGAGAAAGCAATGGTCCAGGTTTAACAAGTTTGTTAAAGCGCGTGTGCTCTGCACCAGCCGTGAGTTCGTCGAACCGGACAGCAGTCACCGTAAAATACTCGTCTCGTTTTGTGTATCGAGTCGCTGGAGGGCCGAAAGCCGTGAAAATAAACGTCCCTTCTGGCTCGAGCCGGGCACAGCCTGCGAAACCGCAAGTTTCGCCCGGATATTTATGAAGAGCCGCGATCCGCTACGATGGAGAAACAGGCGACGTTTATGGTCGAGGAGGTCGACAGACGTTTGGCAGGTCTGCTTTCTCAGCGGCAAAGAAGTTCTCCTTTCGGGGCTTCACCGTTCGTTCCTTGTCTCTCGATCCTGCTTTTCTGCCTCCCCTCTAACCGTATCGCCGTTTAAATTCCTTCTACGGTCGTTTTATCCTCTGGAACAATCGTTGAAAGTGTTGGAAATTATCCGCATTGCTCCTCACGAGTATTAAAACTCCCGGTATCTTCACAGAGGTAGCATATTTCTTCGCTAAAGTTAGTGTCATACGTGTCGATTTTTATCATGGAAAATGGCACTTTTCTATTACGAGTGTTTCACATTTGTGCGATAAGTATTCAGCTATCAGTGAGATGAAAATTTTAAGCTGCTTTCCCTGGAAAATTTACTTGTTCAGTTATCAATGCTAAGCAGCGATACCAGTCGCAACACGTGTACTCGTTACACTAAAAAATCCCATCTTAATAATTTTGTTACGACTACTCAGCTTTGCTTCACATTCCGCAAGTTCTCAAACCTACTCACAGGAATGTATATTACAATAAAAACCAGGTAGCCTCGCTTTTAACCCTTTGCACTCGGAGATCTTTTCACTATAGCCTATTACCTTCGAAATTGATATTTAGTATTTGCTAAGAAATGGATATCGTAGAAGTAAATCATACCATATATATTGACAAATATATTTCAATTATAATACATTCTTTTTTTATTTATTTTAATTATTAACCAAATAGTAAAACATAATGTCGAGCGAGCGAGCTTTGGTTCATTAATATTTTGATTCATCGCTCTTCCTCGATCAGTTCCAGCACGGGGAAGGTCCAGAGACGGTATTAATTGCGCGATGAATTAATACGTTCCGTGTCGTTTTTAGATCGTACGTTTCGGATAATTAATATCGCGCGTCTAAGTTACAAGAGTTTTGCACGATGCAATTTTAATTCGTTTGCTATATTGATTTCGGTAAAACGTCGGAAAGTTAATTGAAGAAAGTGTGTCGCTTTTCAATCGAGGATCTTCCTTGATAATTTACTAATTAACAATTGATCATTTGAAATCACACTTCTTCCTTAACCCTTTGCCTCGCGATTTTTCAATTCGCTATTTTAATGCAGCGTTAAATTGAAAAAATTTTTTAAATTAGGCCTAACCCTTTGCACTCGAACATCTGTTTACTATAGCCCATTGCCTTCAAAATTGATATTTAGTATTTGCTAAACTAAACTAACGTAGAAATAAATCATACCATATGTACATTGACAAATGCATTTTAATTACAGTACATTCTTTTTTTATTTATTTTAATTATTTACCAAATAGTAAAAAATAATGTCGCTTCTCAGCCGCCACTCGAGCGCAAAGAGATAAAAATGAGAATTCAGAAGAAATTCGAAGTTTCCTTGCACACTTTCATATTACGAACTTTCCCGAATTTTCTATGTCCCTCAAACGTATTACGAAGTTCTTCAAATTCCTCGAGTCTCAACCGCGAGTCTCTCCATCGATTCCATTAGCGAGACGGTCCATGGAATGCGCGGAATTTCACGGACAATACCGCGAAAGAAAAAGATTCTCGGTGGCGAAAAACGGAGATGGAAGAGAGTCTCCCTATTTCTGGACTCCGGCCGCCCTCTGACATAATTATAAATATAGAACAGTCGAGACGCGCTAAATCGG